TGTAAATAATAAATTGAAAGACATATAGAAAAAAAAAAGTATTTTTTTTAAAGAGATTAATTAAATTTAATATGTTTTTCATATGAGTAGTATCATTATGTAGTAATAAAAAAAAGAATTTGTTGAAAAAACTTTATAAACTCTATACATTTTTAAAACAAAATACTTTCTGATTCATGGAATTTGGTAAAGATATTAGGAGGAATATGATTTAAAAATTCAAGATTTGAATATTTTATGCAATTTATGATCATTAAAAATATAAAATTACCAAAAATACTCATTAAGATTATAGCTATAGTCAGCTAAAATCAATACTCGTTTGTTTTTAATAAATGCTAATTTTTATTTTCTCTGAAACTAAGAAATTCCAGTTTCATTATAATTTCAATCTATTTATAGTTGCAGTTATATATACAGTTTTTTTGTTCATAATAAAGAAAAAAAAAAAAAAAGTAACTGAAATTATGATTTTAATTCCATAATTCTAGTAATATATTAATATTGGTTTTAGTGATCTCAATCTGATATTTAATAGTTTAATAATTTTTTTTAGGAAAAATACATATATTCAAGTTTTTCAATTATTTTTCTTTTTTTATTAAATTTATTCATCAACTTACTGTTTTATTTTTTGTCATAGACTTCTTTATATAAATATATATTATATACTTATTCTATAGCTACAACTTTAGTGCTGCAACTTTAAAAAAAAAAATTTGTGTAAAAATTTTTTTTGAGATAAATATTGGGAAAAAAAAAATTAATAACATCTTAACATGTTTTTTTAGATGGAAAAAGTCGGTAAATATTAATGTTTTATTATTGAGATAATTTTTATCAAAGTGAACAACATTACTTGAATCATTTTGTATAATAAAAATTTGACAATATCTAGAAATTTTAATTTGATGAAATTATTATATATATTGGATTATTAAACTAATTATATTTCAAATATAATAGAACGAGAAAAATAAGATTAAAAAGCTAAAATATAGTAATGCAATTTATTAAATATGAAAATAAATATATATTATATAGTATTCTATAGTATAATAAGATAATATATAAAAATAATATAAATGCATAGCTCAAAAAAATATTCGAAAATTGGCTATTGAAATTTTAAACAATAAATATGTTTATTAAGTTGTTTCGAAAGATTTTTTTTTATACAGATATATATATTTTTTTAAAACCTTCATGATTTTATTTTTCTAGAATAGTAATCGAAATTGATAGTACTTATTGTAGATATTTTAATGATTTTTTATTATATAATTTATATTTATAACATTTTATATTTATAAGATAAATGATTTTATCATTTGTAAAATTTTATATATCTTACGTACAAAATATCTTAATATCGGAATTCCATTTGGCTAAAATAACCAAAATGACTTTTATACTGTTATTTGAGAAATACAGGTAGTATCATTAGAAAAACTTATTTTTTATTTTTTAATTTTTTAATTTTTTTAAGGAGAATTATTATATCATTTGATTATTTCATTTGATGTGTAATTATAAAATATATATATATATATTATATATAATATAATATTATATATAAAAATATATATAGTATAATTTGTTAATTTTTTAATATTTGAAAAGAAGAAGGACACGCGTTTTTGAAAAAAAAAAAATATTTTTCAAAATAAAATAATGAAAATTTACGCGTGCTAATAACGAAAAGAACATTTAGAACATTTTGGGACAATCTAAAATATTACAATATATTCAAAATAATTATTATAATATTTATATATAATTATTGTTTGTTATTATTATAATAAGATACAAATAATATTATTATTAAGCAAGATATCAACATTGTACATAATAACTCGATATTCGAACATCATGATTTACAAAGGATTATTGCTCTATATTTGTTTTTCGATTATTTTTATATGAGTTGAACTATCGAATATGTACATATTAAAGAAAAATAAAAAATAAAAATAAAATATGAAATTTATTATCAATAAAAGATAATTTTTAATACGTTAAACTGTTTAAAACATGTCACAGAAAACATGTTATATTAAGGAAATATTAAGTATTAAGTATAGTATTATGTATAATTAATTTTTATAAAAAATTGCTATTTAAATAAATTAATATAAATTTGATGTATCCGAATATTTTTTTCATATTAAATTTCATCATTATTTCATTTATCGTTTATTTGTTTCCGTTACTATAATGAAATTACTAAAAGATAATTCAATTAGATTAAAATAAACAAATATATGTATATATAGAGAAATATTTTCTTGCAAATCGTGGTGTATAAATATTAATTCGAGTTATAAATTTCAAATTATATAAATTTTCAAATAAGTTAGATAATTATGAAAATTAAAGAATATTCGTTATATATATGCAAAAAAAAGGGTCACAAAAGTAAACGAATACTTAAAGACGAACTGTGTTTATGCTGAATTTATACAATATTTATTTATTTAGAAACGTTTTTACATTGAATTTACATAATAAATGTTAGGATCTAACTCAGTTCATGCCAAGACATCGCTTAATAAGCTTGGCGTGTTAAATATTTATAGTTATAGGTAAATCAATTGTTAATTAAATTATACCCATGTTATACTGTGGAAACGTATACAGTAGTAAGAAACGAAACTTCTACTGTGTAGATTTTAACAATATGATTGTATGTTGTTGAAACATTTATCGAAAAATTGATTATGTAAGTAAATATTTTTTCTTGAAAATTTTTTGTTTATACTTTATATAATTATACTAATATAAAAGTTAAATGAATTTTTTAAAATTTCTTTATATTTTATTATAACAATATTTTTTTTATATTACAAAATCATGAAGGATAATATTGAAATCAAAATGAACTGACTTGATTTATAAATTTCTATATTTTCTGTAATTTAAATTTTATATTTAAATTTTCTATAAAAATTTTCTATAAAATAATATATAAATTTTCTATAAAAATTTCAATTTTAATTTTGTTATCAGAAAAAAAATTGTTCAAAAAAAATTTATAAATTTATAAATTATAAATTTATAAATTTATAAATTTATAAATTTATAATTTATATTTAATTAATTAAAAAGTTTTTATTATTAAAATGTACACTTTTTTTGATATTGTATTATTTTATTATTGTTACTAAGATATGTTAATATTTTTTTAATTGATTGTATCTGTATGTACCCTATATATTTTACTAGATAAATCAATTCAGCAATTCTTATAATTATTCTTATAATTATATTTATAATTATATTCATATAATTTATTAAAAAATAAAAACTGAAAAATTAATAATCTTTATTTTTCGAAAAATTTAAAATATAAAAGTGCGAAAAAAAGTTACTGTTAAATCTTTATAAGGAAAGGAAATCTTACAAAAAGATAGTTGATTCTTTTAATAAAAATATGTCAATGATGTCATTTATTAAATTATTTAATAATTATTATTAAAAAGAATAATACAGAAAATATTACAAATAAAATCCGTGAAAGTCGATAATTAGAAATTGTCAAAAAAAAAAAAAAGAAGAAATTAATTACTTGTGAAAAAAAAAAATTTCTTGATTTTGAAATTTGCGCAATTTATATTTGAAAAAAAATCATTCATTTAAAATTTTATCGAAAAATCTTATAACATAGTTTTTTATCAGAATAAAATAGATAAAGAAACCGTATATTAATAATATACAAATAAGAAACCGTATATTAATAATATAAATAATATCATTTATTCTGAAGTATCATTATATTTTCTGACGAAAATAAATTTAACATTTTACATTTTAATGAACGTAATTATGTTTGAACAAAATAGAATATTAAAATGGAAATATGAAATTCATATTCAATTGTTATAAAATATATATTATGAAATCATATTATCATAATATGAAATTTATGATCTAATAAAGGCAAAAAATTAAACAATTAAAATAAATAACAAAACGTTATTAAAATAGATAATTATTGAAATATGAACAATATAGGAAATAGTTTTCTATATATTATATTTTAGAGATATTATTCCTAAGATTCATCTTTATCAAAGATGAACTAATTAAATATTAATAAAATAATAAGAAATAATAAGAAATAATGCAATAAATACTTTTTTATAATCTATTTTTCTATATTTCTAAAAAATTTTCTCTAACTTCTACAAATATTTTCGAATTTATTTTAGAGTAATATAATCTTGATACTTGTATTTTATTGTAGTTATAATATTAAAAATCTTTAAAAAATCAAATGTAACACATATATCTTTATTGTTAAAGTTTCAATGAAGTTTAATAAGTATTCGAAGTATTCGAGTATTTTCTTGAACTATTATATAGGAATTGTGATGATTGACGAATGATTTATACATATACGATATAATATATAATATATACGATAATAATTGGATATTATGTTCAGCATATCAGATTGTTTGATATGCTAAATTATTGGATATGAAATTATCAAAATTTATTGTTAAATTTGAATAAATTCCATCTCCAATTAATGATTTAACAAAAAATATTGCTATAAAAAAGCTGAACATTATCAGCAAGAATTGATCTTACGTAAGGTAAAATAAGGTAAAATCATGATTCTTATCGCAAGAAATATAATTTAAATTAATTTATATTTAATTATTTTGTATAAAAATATCCATTGCAACTGGTTGAAACAATGTAACAGATTCTGATTTCTTTGTATAATACAAATTTGACATTATTTTAATGATTATTTCTTTTGAAACAAAGATAAAGAAATAACGAAATATATAATATATTATTTAAATTCTTAAAATTTCAAAATTTTTATTTTTTTTATATTTTCAAATAATGCTATTAGAAATAACTATTTTAAAATAATTATTAATAATAATATTTATAATAATCATATTTTCTATTTAATTTTCAAAATTTTTAATACTTTTTGAAATTAATTTTTAAATAAAAAAGAAATACATTATATTTTGCAGTTGATCAAGAATTTTAAAAGATTTAAGTTGTCGAATAATGAAAATTTTATTGCAAATAATGTTCAAAAAATGACTGATAACACAATAGATTAATGCATATCTACCTTATCATTGGTGAGTATAATATAAGCAAAAAAAAATTAGAAACAATTATTAAAATAGTTTTATTTAAATGAATATTTGAAAAACTTGAAGTCATAGTGATGGATATATTTATAAAAAATATTTATTTGAAATATAAAAAATATTTGTATGTCATTGTATTTATTATAGGATTTATGTATTAATTATTTATCATTTATTAATAATCTGATATAGTGCAAAAATATGATTTAAATAAAATTTAAATAAATATTTAATACATAGAATATTTAAATAAAATACATATAAAATATTTAATAATATTAAAATAATCTGATAAAAACACTTCAAAATAAATTATTAATTATATGCAAATATTTTTTGTAGCTACATATAATATATATATATAATAAATTACTAAAATAATAATTTTTTAAGATGTACAAGAAATAATTATGTATGAAATGATTTCTATGTAATAATATTTTAAATTTATATTATTTTTTATAATTATTAGTAATTATAAAAAATAGTATAAATAGAAATCCAATGAAAAACAAAAATATATTTTCATAAATTTATAGAAAAAAAATTATTTATCCATTGAATCCTCTAATTTTAATTCTTCAAGACGAACATGATTGATAATATAGAATTAATGTAATCAATATTTTTGTGATATGAAAATTCACTTTTTCTTCATATTTCTTTATATTTCTTAATATTAGATTGCGTCAAAAATTTTTTTTGTTATTTATATGTTGGTCATTTTTATACTCATTGAGAATTTGAGAAATATAGTTTATATTTATGTTTTATTAATGTTAAAATATCTAATCTTTCTTTAATTTTCTAAAATTTTATATTTCTTCGTTAAATAACTTTTTTGCAATTAATAAATTATAGATTATGTAGATCTTTTATAATTACAATTACTATAATTCATTGATAATTAAATAGAGTAATTATATGATTTTTTATAAAAAAAATTGATTTTATATAATCAGTATAATCAATTACTAGTCTAAAAAATTGTGAAGATATAGATATGAAATTTTTTATGTAAGATAATTTAAAAAAAAATTTAATTCGTTTGGAAATGAATTAGATCTTTTAACAAGATAATGATCCCAAGCATACGGCTTGAATTGTTAAGGAATGATGTACTTACATATTATATACCATAAGAATTAAGCATATTCTTTTATTATATTTGGATTAAATTAAATAATCGATTAGATTAATCGAAAGAAAATGTACCATTAAAGATACGAAAACTTTAAAAATAATTATTAGAAAATTATAATCTGTATAAATATCAAAAGAGGACAAGATATATAATAATAAATTATTTTTTTTATGATTTTTTGAATTCTGATAAATTTATGTAAACATTTTATGAATTGGAAAAAAAAGAAAGAAGAAAAATCAGAAAAAGGAGTAAAAAAATTATAATAAATGAATGATAATAAATTGGTTACAGATATTAATAATTAAATTAAATAATAATAATTAAAAAAAACTAATGATAATAAATTATAAACAGCAAGTAATTTATTATATTCATAATAATTTTATCGATTAGAAATCAACAAAGTGACTAAAGCAATAATAATTTTTGCAATTGCAATGTAAAAACGAATATTTCCTTCTTTAGATTATAATATTATAATAAATCTTTAGATTATAATAAATCTAAACATTCATAACATAGTAATGTCTTGAAATGAAACGAGATATATATCTCAAAGTCAAAAATATTTCAAAGTCATTTCTAACTGATATCAATATTTACTAATATACCAATAGGATGTTAATATATTTATGAAATTTTTTAAAGGTTTGATTTTAGAGAATAAAATAACATAAAATCTTATATAAAAATATTGATTTAAGTTTATTTATTTATTATTTATAAACAATTGTAATTTGTGTTAAATGAAATGAGACAAAGATAGAAACTTTCTATTTCCGTCACAATATTGCCTCATTATATTTCTTTATCTAACGGAAATTTAAATTATTTAGAACTTAATTAAATAAATCTTAATTGTAATATTTTTTGTTGTAAATGCAACTATTGTATTTATTTTGATTTCTAAAATTAACCTTTCAAAATAGTCTCGTGAATATATGTTACGAGCATTGACGGCTACAGTGTGAAACATCATGACAAACAAGACAATCATTGTTAATGATATTTTTGATATATATATTTTTGATTTTATATATATATATATTTTTTTATTTTATATATATATAAAATATTTTGTATCTGTGTATAAAAAAAATATTGAATTATAAATAATAATAAAATAAAATAAAATAAAATAAATATAATAATAATAAAACAAAACTAGTTATGGAGAGTCAGTTTTCGGGCTCGTGTAACATTAATACTCTGTATATTTGAAATTTTTCGTGTTTTTGATCGATATTGTATTAATATTGTAGCTTGAGATCTTTATTGATATTTCTTTATGACAGTTGTGCAAATTCAAGAATCTCACAATTATATTATAAGTATCGAATTATATTCGAACGAAAAAGATAATTATATAAATTAAAAATAATTATATTTATTAAATATAGGCAAACATTATTATATTATAATTATTATTTATTATTACTGTCTATACAAAATAAAATTCGAGTATATTTTTATTTAGTTATTTTTACTTTTTTTTATTACTTTTCTTTTGTCATTTCAACTGTATTTATGAAATTTTTTATGAAATCTTATTTTATCTTGATTTTTAATTGTTCTATGTCATATTTCTTTTTGTTAATTTTACTTAATGTCCTCTTTTCTTCTTTTTTCTCCTATTTTTTCTTTTTATATTCCTTTATAGTTTGTTTCCTTATTAGAATTTTTTTCTTTTTCTCACTTTTTTTTCTATCTTTTTTTATTTCTATTTTTAACTTTGTTTTTTAAATTTCATTTTATTAACACTCCTTTTCTTTCTGCATTTGCTTAGAATATATTTCCATCTTTTATTATTATCTTGTTGTGTTAAACTTTACTTTTTCTTTTCTTTTATTTTAATTATTTTCCTTTCGAATATTTTTCTTCTATTCTTTATTATTCTTCTCTCTTTCTTCTTTTCTTCTCCAATTTTTTTTAATCACTATTTTTTTTCTGTTTTCTTTTTTCTTAATATTTTTATTATATCTTTCTTTTAGTTTTTCTCTATTTTATATTTCTTTTTTATATATTCTTTTTTCTTTAACCAATATTTATTGCTCAAGTATTCGTTTCTCCATATATCAATTTTCTTATTTATTTATTTTTTTTTTCACAAATACTCTAAAATTTATAGAATTTAGAATAGAATTTGTTATATTTCTATTTTTATTTTTATATCATTTGTTATATTTTTTATCTATCTCATTTCTCTTCTTTTTTTTTTGTTTCTCTTCTTTTATTCTCTTTATATTATTCCTGCATTCCTTTCTAGTTTTCTTTCCCTTATTTTATCGAGATTACCATTTTCTTGCTAAAATATCTTTTTTCTTTTTTCCTAACTATTCAAAGTTTCATGCACAGCCGTGATATTATAGAACACGTTATTACTAGATGATTATAGTTGAGTCTAAAAATGGCTTTGGCATTCTACTGTTTCTGTTGACGGTAAGATTGCTTCTGACACAGATTATTGAAAAATAAGAATCATCTGTTGGTTAAAATGATAGTGACGTTATTGAATCATAAACAAGATATAGCATAAATAAATGTTTGTAATATGCAATAGATATATTATTTAACGTATCTAAAGCCTAGAGATTCAAAATGATATTAACTGTGGGTTCCCAAGTTCTTGTTTTTATGTTACACGAGATGTTAACTAATAACCATATTAGTTTTCTTCTTTTGAATTCGAAATAAGTAAAAAAAGATGATTTAATTTGAAAGAAAATGCTAGATACATGAGGTAAATTTAAAAATTAGAATGATTATTTTTAATCAGAGATGCAGTAATCAGAGAACAATAGATGAATTTTTATTTAGAATTTTTTTTATAAAAATAATACTAAAAAAAAAAAAAATAATAGAAATTGATCAATTTTGAAAGTGGTTAATTAAAATTTTTTATGATTCTATAGATTTTAAGAAAATTCACAATTATTTATCTTGATAGAAAGTTTTAAAAAACAAGTTTTAATAAGCTTATTAAAATGTTTTACATAACAAAAATAAAAGATAAGATCAAACAATAGATTAAAATAAAAATTCATTTTTTAATGCATGTTTTTTTAATACAATTCCTTATTGTAATTATAACTAGTCAATAGTGAAAAATTTGCGGTAATATGAAAATATATATCAGCTAATCAATATTTATTTGATAGTGGAAAATGAAATATTTTTTCAATTTACCGATTAAGTTCCAGTAAGTCCGTGTCATTGAACCTTGTGATTGATGAATTTATTGATCGACAATTGACAAATTTAAATTAAATTTAAAAAAAGATAAAAATTATTTTATCATATTATCATAGTTGTCTAAATTATCTTGAACTCATTGAAAGTTATGTATGAAAATATCTGTCAATAATTACGTCAAATTATTGTTAATTGGAAACAACAATTGATAACTATTCATTCAGTGATTTTGTAATAATGAAATAATATTAAAATAATATTAAGATCACAATTATCACTTGTTAACAAAATATTCGAATCGAAATTAAAATTTAAATTAAAAAAATTTAAATTAAAATAATTAAAATAATAATTTTTTATAAAAGATAAATATTGAATTTGATATTTTCTTGATTTTTATCTAAGTCCCACATATTAGTTTTTATGATATAATGTAATATAACATTCTATATGAATAATTGTTTGAATAGCAATAGCTATATATTTAAATATACAGATGATGAAATAAAGAGACATAATACATTCAGCTATTTTCTGACAAGAAGTTAGCAATACTTGAAGTTTTAAAATTTTTCATATTAATTTTATTGTTCTTATTCCAAGATTTTTCATGTTAACGAAATCTTATTATTTTTTAATAATTCTTCGA